TATTTCGGTGCCGTAACTATAAATTGATCAATGCGATCGAGTGATCATTTTACATATTATTTTACGCAATAGAAAGTACTACGTAGTATAATACAATAAAATATACATACTAGATACATATATGGCATAAGATTCTGCCAACTCATTGCCACATAATCGTCGGAGGGTTGAGAGTTTTCGATTAAAACGTCTATGCGACTCTATAGGCACCGATATTTCATAATATATATATATATATATACAAATATTATGGATATACGTCGCATAAGCACAATATATATAAGGAGCTCTCGGTATCACGCAGAGTGTAAACGCGAGAGCGTATTTTCATCAATATGATTAGAATGAATAATTATCAACAAATAATCGTACAACAATTGTGGCCATAATATAATATTATACTTTATACTACAAGGTGTCTACAAATATAAACCCGGAGTCGCGTCGTCCATTATACAGCTGGTGTGGCATATATCTCCATTATCCTTATAAACCGATATAATTGTATACGAGTTTCCGGAAGTTCGCGCACACGCATACTTATTTCGTCGATATATTAAAAATATATAGGTATAACCTATGTGCGGCTGTATGTTTGAACGCAATTAGAATTCATACGGCGTTCGAAAGGCAACGAAATTGTTATCTATATATAGGTAGGACAATTAATAATAATTACATGTATTTATGTACATGCGTTTCTATAAGTTGAACCGTGGAGTCGGGGGAGGTGGGTGTGGGCTGAACAAATTTAACGGGAAGAATGTTAAAGGTCCACATAAATATTATATGGTTGTATCTGCAGCTGTATAGGTGTACTCGACTCTTAAATCTGTACTGCATGTAAAACCATGTAGGTAGTCATACCTATGGTTCTACAATTATACTCGAATCGGTGTGATATCTGGCTGCCGAATGACGGTTGTTGATGGTACAGCAGATGCCGATTGTACCTCAAACAATTTAGAGTGAATTCATTCACTTTCCTGAAATCTTTGCATTTAAACTTACTAAAAATGTTAGAAACCATGTTTTTAATCATGCAAAAAATAAAAATGCAAATATGTTATTTTCACGAAAATTTTTATTTCATTTTCGGTTTTTTTGTTTATGCAAAAATTATTTTTTTCTGTGTATTTTCATGTTCTAAAAGTGATGGTTCCAAAAAAACAATATTGAGTTATTTTCACTACGATTATAATTAAATAAAATTGAAATGTAGGTGCCTATGTATTTTAATGTTTTAAAAACAATAATATAAATTATAACCATATTTTTTTATTTTTAATAATTAAACATGTATACATTATAGTCTATTATTATAATAGCATGATTCATCACTATCAAAATCTGATGCAACTGACGCTTGATCGTCTAAACTATAGTCTTGCTCTATAGCACCCAACGGATTATATAGCTTTCCTGTATATTTACAAAAAATCTGACAACGAATTTCAGCTCAGAATTCTACAGCGTTTCAAAAACATGAATTTCGCAAGATATCTCCCTTAAAATGGTTTCTTTCGATAATTGCAATAGAGAACCCTTGGTGTCACGCCACATTACTTCCACATAATTAGTGTGAGCTCCAGTATCCGGATTCTTAAATTGGATTGAATGGCTTACTGTTATGGGTGTTTAATCCCCTATTCTTCTGAACAGTTGTAAATTAAAAAAACTTAAAATAGCGAACTTAACATTGAGAGAGTGACCCCACCCGATATCTATATGCATATAAAATACAATTGTTTTTTACCCCGCGACCTACGACCTACCTACCCAAGGTGGTTTCGCAAAGTATTTATGGTTTTATAATTACTTCCAACGGTCACCAATAATTATGGTTGCACACGGTAAAATCCAAACTTTAATTGCCATAAGAGGAGTTTATTTGTACAACGTTTATGAACTGGAATCAAAAAACAATTTCCTGTATCTCTTTAAACACCACTGGATATCCATTTTCCTTCAACACTGTGTCCACGGTGGTATTTTCGGTGGCTAAACTTAGTTTCATCAATTTCAACTATTTTATTGAATACTCCTAATATAGAAATAATATATTATTATTTACTATCTAAAGTTTCTTAAATGTTGAAAAAAATATAACTATAAATTTGTTATTTTATCAAAATAAAAACTAACCATTTTTTTTATTGCTTATAATCACAGCATCGAAAGTAATTTCAAGGTGGAATGATGTCCAGTCAACAGCGGATGGTTAAGAAGTGTTTATTTGATTTTGATTAACAATAATGTAACATTTTCAAGCCATAAATATGCAAAAGATATTATTTAGTATAGAGATAAATGTGTTCTGTTAAAAAATATATCCATTCTTATGGACCGCGTATAGTAACAATTTTTTTTTTTTTGTTTATCGTGGCTGTTTGTTCGACACCGCCAAGTAAATCCGTCAACAGCCAACACACATCACATCTTCGACATTTTAAATAATTTCCACGGTCACATTCGAGGTACTCACATACTCTCATGTGAGTTGGTTGTCAGATGTTATTAAATTCTACTGTTGTAGTTGTTTTATAACTAATATTAGAGACATCTTACCAGACGTTTTATTTTCAAAAATATCGTAGTCGATAAAATGTAAGATGGACATAATATTTTTATTATTTAACAAAGCTACGACCTTAAACAGTCGCCAGTGTGGGTAAGCCGCGCGCTGTCGTTGGAAATTTGAATTCACAGAACCGTCTATAGTCATATATTTTAACTGCTATAGGTCCACCATCGGCCCAGTTCGTCGCTGTAAATAATTTAAAAATTTCATAATACATAATAATAATTATGTGCTTTTCGTATAATCCCTTAGCCTATTTAACACGCGATGAAAACGATGAAAATGACGAATATTAAAAGAGCCGATTGGATTAAAAAAAATCGTTTTTTCATCTGAAAACCGGTAATCGGCGCCCGCTAGATTAGCGAAGAGTGTCCGCCGGCGGCAATCCTGTGGAAGTCCAATAATAATAATTACAATATTAGACATCCCGAGTGATAGGCCCGGGCATCGGACCTCTAACGGACGTGACTCAACGATTGTTTCTGCAATGAACTATAATTTAATTTCATATGAGAAAATAGCAATAAGTTCGTACCGGTGTAATAATATGTATGACAAGTAATAACTTTATGTAAATAATGGTATAGTGAGTTTAAAGGAAAATTACTGACCAAACTTTTCGGGTATAGAGTATACAACGCATTTAACACTCGTTCAATAATAATAGCAGTAGAGATCAACAAAAAAAAAACACCAACAAAATCAGTAGATAACAAAAGTTAAAAATTTTAACCAAATACTACGAAATTATGAGTATAAATTATTAAGTATCAGCTTTTCCGCGTAATCGGTCCATTTACTTAATCTGTATAGGTATTACATACTTTGCCGATTCGATTGACAGTAATCTAAAACCACGTTTACTAAAATACAATTTTCTGGCAATGACAATTTTTGTTTCAAAGACAGATGAAATTGCAAAATATCTCATAAAATCTAAAAATTCCTCAAAATATGCAAAAATATGCAAAACACAATTTTTAATTTGAGTTCTCTGTATCATGAAATACATTTTTACTCTGTTTTTTTTTTAATGTATTTTATAAGAAATATACAAATGTTATAAAATCCCAAGCCTGATCATAAGTATACATTTTTTTATAACTAGGTATCAGAAAGTACAATAATTATTATTTTTAATTAATTCTTCAGAACATATGGAAAAGTTGTAACAATAATTAATGCATCTGAATTGTTAATTATTGTTGTGTTCTGTGGTAGAAAATGTTGTTTTTATTTAATTTATTTTTACAGATTTTTTATAACTGTACTATATTATTTACATATTTTTTATTTATTATGATATCGTTTAGCTCTCTAATTCTACTCTCAATTGAGGGTTTATTGTTTTTTTTCTGTTTTATAAATGTTTAATAACATTGGTGTATATCGGTTAAAATTGTTGTCACATCCCCTTTATCTTTTAGTTCCCGAAATTATTCAATCATTATTAGAAACATTTTAAAAACTAGAGTATAGAAAAATGTCTATACCTACATATTATGTACATATTTTTTTTTTTTCATAAATATTATACATTTTTTTTTAGGAATACTGCTATGTGTACTGGCTAATAGAGCACATCAATTAAGGAACCAGCAAGGTGAATAATTCACTGATACTAATAATTAATTATTAATCCAACAGCGAGAATTCCAGTTGTATTGATGGGAAAAACTGCACCTTCAAATAATTCATTGTCACAATGTATACGCGTCTTATAATTTTCAATATTTATACAAAAATAAAATGATACCTAGGTTATAAAAATATTTTGTATTTATTTTATTTATACTCTCAAGTATAGTTAAGTTCATAAACCATGATTTTAAATATAGATTATATATAGATTATATAAATTTATTATATTTTGTTTAAAGAGTATCTAGTTATTTACTATCTTTATAGGTATCTATAATAGTTTGAACAATTTATTCAATAAACTGATTGTTATATGAACGTCTTGTCAATTTTTAGAGTTTAGTATACTCGAAAAATAGTATATTTTTTCAACTAATAAAAATAATCTTAAAATATTGATGATGCTGGAACTTTGACTAAGTAGGTATTAGAGCTCTTTCAGACGAGACACTTTGTGGCCGGCCACTAGAATCGCGCTACAAGACACAAAAAGTGTTTCATGTGTAAGCGTCTTTCACACGAGACACTTGTCGTACACGAGTATCTGATTAAATACAATTATTTTATAATTATTATTTATTTTTCACTCAACCATGGAAGTAGAAGAAGCTCTACTACTAGCTCTATTTATTAAAAGAAAACATAATAAAAATAAAAAACGTAAAAGGCTCCATTGGGTGCATCCTATTGTTGGGGATAGATTAGAAAAGGGTAATTTTCATACCCTATTTCACGATCTTCTTAAATACGAATCTAAATTTTTTAATTATTTTAATCATTTTAAAAAATGTTTGTAGTTATAGTACAAGGATCCGCTATGTGCTGGCTTTACAATGCGAATATGCTTCCCGTCGATTGCCCCGATACAGTTAGGGAAATTTGTCACGTTCAAAAAAGTATCTGCAATTTTCAACCAATCTTCTTGTTTTGGTTCTGGCATATAAGTTATCCTTAAGTTTGTCCATATAGCTTTACACATTTCTCGAATAATTGAACTCAAAGTTGAAACACCAATTCTAAAACTGTAATGCAATTCTGTTAAAGTGCATCCCGTAGCAAGGTACCTAAAAAAATTTATTATTATATGAAATAATTTGAATAACGGATATCTTAATAAAAACATATCAATCCATCCTTATCTTGATATATTAATATATTATTATATATTATTTGAATATTATATTTTATTACAGTTCAAAATCTTCAACGAAAATGGAAAAGCCTTAGAAATTCATATGCCCGCGAACAGTCTAAAAGAAAGACAATGAAATCTGGATCAGGCAGTAAATCGTGGAAAACGTATGTTTATTACAACCAGTTGTCTTTTCTTTCGACGTGTGTTGGAAATAAACAAACTATATCAAATTTCAATGACAATGATGCTGAACAGTATGCTGATGCTGAATCCAACACAGATAATGAAGATAATGATAACATGAATGATTCTGGTGAAGAACACGCATATGAATATACAATTACACAATCAAGGCAATCCAAAAAGACAAAAACACAAAATAAGGATTCAGAAAGTCAATTGCTTTTATCTATACAAAAAAGCTTAGAAAATCGAAATGAAATGACAAAATCAATGGATGATCCTGACCGACTTTTTCTGTTATCTCTTATCAATGATCTTAAACAAGTTCCAGAGGAAAATAAAATGGAAGTGAAACTTAGCATAATGCAAACGATTTCTAATGCAAAAAAATCTCGACAACAGAATACCCATTTTTCAGATGGTTCATATTTTGATACTCAATGTCAACTAAATTCGACACTACATCAATATCCTACTTTATACCAAAGACCACAGGCTTATTCAAACTTTCAAAGTTTGTATCCCAACGTTCATCCATTACAAAACAATCAACATCAATGTTTTTGCACTCCAACACCATCATCATCTCAAAATATTTTATCTAATACGGAAGTAGATGTATCTCAATCAAGCTCTTCAAGTTTGGCAAGCTATGTTAGCCAATTCAACGACACAATTTAAAAAGTAAAACTATTCATGTTTATCAGTGTTTATTAATTATATAATGTTATACGGAGAGGATAAAAATTTATTTTTAACATTTAAATATTGTATTAAATATGTAGTTGTTAGGAACTACCTACCTACTTAACTAAAAATATTGTTTCTAATAACTTATTATATAGAAAGAAATGTTTTTTAATATTAATAATTTCGCTATCATTCGGAAATATACAATTTGATTACAGTATTTTTAAATGTGTAAATCTGTAGTGTGTTTTAATAAAACAATTAAGTAAAACAAATTATATAATTATTAACGGTTATACAGACAACATTTAGCAACAAAACGCTTTTGTATTATAAAAAAATTATAGAACATTTATACATATTTATTATAAAGATATATTAAAAATATTACTGATAAGTCATACCTTAACGTAACTGCAAGTCGTTCTTCGGTTGAAATAGATCTTCTCATATTTGTGTCTTCTTTTTTCGTGTCATTTTTTATTAAATTATGTAATTCAAAAAACGATTGACTCGACATGCGAAAATAATTAAAAAATTTAGATTCGTATTTAAGAAGATCGTGAAATAGGGTATGAAAATTACCCTTTTCTAATCTATCCCCAACAATAGGATGCACCCAATGGAGCCTTTTACGTTTTTTATTTTTATTATGTTTTCTTTTAATAAATAGAGCTAGTAGTAGTCAGTAGAGCTTCTTCTACTTCCATGGTTGAGTGAAAAATAAATAATAATTATAAAATAATTGTATTTAATCAGATACTCGTGTACGACAAGTGTCTCGTGTGAAAGACGCTTACACATGAAACACTTTTTGTGTCTTGTAGCGCGATTCTAGTGGCCGGCCACAAAGTGTCTCGTCTGAAAGAGCTCTTATAGTTTCTGAACTAAATAAAAAGTCAAAATTTGATTGGGGCTTATGGGCTATGGACTACATTACATATTATTCATATAGGACATAGGTAATAACAAATTTCACAGTTTCCATGAATTAAATTTTCAATATCATTTTAATTCACTTTTAATCACTTTAACTTTTAATACTATAAAAAACCCGATTAAATGACTTGACACGAAAACGTTATTTGTGTGAATTAGTACAGTAAACCACTTATTTTTTTATTTTAACTTAAGGTCGAACATCATTTTTAAAATAAATATTTATTATAGCTAAATAAAATATAAGGATTGTATTATTAGTTTATGTAGGCAGTGATGTCAATTTTGTGAGTAAGATTATCTTTAAAGTCCATCAACTCGAGCACTTCACTTTTATTTTAATTAGTTTTTACTTTATTTAAAATATATTTTAAATAATATAAGATATAATTGTTAAGAACCTAATTTAGGAACTATTTAAATATCAATTTTAATACAAATAAATAAAGTTTGATAATTGTCTCTGCAGTATTAAATAATTTTATTAAAAAAGAAAAATATATTCTTTTGTCTCTATAACTTTTTCAATTATATATACAACTGTATATTATGCAACTGTAACATTAATTATTTTTTTGCTCACGTACTTTTAACCTAACCTTTCGTCCGGCTCCAAATTGTGCGACGCCGTTTGGGATGTATAGGCTCGCTGGCCAACAACTCCTGACTACATTTGTCATGCATTTCGGGTTCTGGTTGGTCCATCGGTGAACAACGTAGGAGGATGTTCGGTGCTGAGGACCACCGACAGCCACCGAATTCGTTTGTCTTCATGATGTCAGCCGTTTTTTCCCGAAGTTCCGGCTCAGACGTACACGATGTCGTGTCAACTCTGTCCGGTGTATCCACAACGGGGGAACTAATCGCATCGTCGACCAGCGACATGTATTGACGGAAAGTTTGTCCTGCATGGTTTGCTACGAGCATACTGTTTTCCGGTGGACTGGTTGGTAGTAAGTTTTGTCCGATCTCTTTGGGCTGCCGAAGTAACTTGGACGATTGTTCGAACGGGATTGACAACGACTGATAAATCTCGGCGTCTCCTACCGAGTGTCGACGACATGTTGTGGCCACGTTCGGCGCCGACGAGTATCTTATTATGGCCGGCCCTGTTCTAACTCTGGTTGGAAACGTCGATGGTATATGGAATTCAGCCGATATTAGCTCTTCGAACACTAACTTCATCTTATCACTCTCCAACTGCAGCTTGGTGGACCCAGACGAGGTAAACATATTCAAAAATACGTATTAAGCTAGTACAATGATATAGCAGACACGCAGGTAGATGCTTCAATGTAGAGTAGCAAGTGGGTAATGATCATAATATGTCAATAATCTTCTAGTGACAAAAATAATTTATACTAGTCAAACCTATCGCAACGATGTTTTGTTGATTTTGTATCGGCCAGAAAAATATTAGGTACTCTATTAAATTAAATATTGTTACAAACGAAATGGGATATTTCACAGTGGCCATTTCGCTGTGAGTTTAAGCCTTCGGATGTTGATTCCGTGGGTTACGAAGAAGGTTTTCAAGTAGGCACTTCCTTAAGTCTGATGTTACTGTGCTGTTGGGATGAATAGTGCAATAATAATTTGTGGATAATAGTGCTACAGTTGAGTTCTTAAATTATACATATTTTATATTATTATATTATTGCACTGGTTGGATGTCGCGCGTGAATGTCAAATTGGTCAGGATTGACTTAAAATGTTAAATCGTTCTGTTTGAATAAAGAAAACCGTGTTAACGTGGCCTTATTAATAATTATCACCTTCGCCTTTTGATCACGACACACTTTCAATGTATCTTTTGATACACTGCAGTTAATTCAAAGCTTAAGGACGCAAAGGACAGACAAGTTTGTTTGAGAAAATAGTCCAGGTAAATACACCTATACACATAAACAAATTCTATATACCTACTTAACTGCAGATAAATACCTATACCTATATTGCAGATCGTATATTTGACTTATAAAAATGTGTGAGTATGTGTGTATAAATTAAAAATATGTAATATTTATCATATAGGTATTAGAAATTACAAGCCAAACAAATTCTTAAAAACAATGTTGAATTCCTAATTTATATAATTATACTTACCACACCTACAATATTATTATGATGCATTGTGGTACCGAGTATCTACAATAAACTATTCAAAATAAAGTCTGAAAGCAAACATTTATAATTAAATATTATGCATATTATTATTATCACACGCATAGTGATAAGAGGACCATACAATTTTAGCACGGAAAATCATACCTATATAGTGTGTTCATGTGATTTGTTGGCACTGCACCACGTGCAGGCTGATAAATTATTACAATATAAATAATATTATTATTTATTATCAATGATTATTGTATTATCAAACCCGTTAAAATAATAATAATAATATTTATTTTGCATAAAGTACATTATTAATAATAAATGTCAAGGATAAACTAAACGTCACAAAATTGAAAAGTGCGAAACTAATATCATGATTAACTTTGACCATACAGTTATCTCAGAAAACAAACACCATATTATTCATAGGTACTCGTGTTCATTATTTATTAATATAATATATCCTTAATCCTCACATTTAAATTAGATCCTTTTATATTTTCACTATATATAAACGTGTGTAAATCAATAATTTTGTTTAGTCGATGATTGCAGCAAGGTATTAAATCGGACAATTTATTTATTTCGAAACGACTTAAAACACGTCTTGTAAATCTAAATTCTTAACTAATATATTACAATATTAAGTTTATTATTCGATATTTACTATACATATTATAATATTATAAAAAGATGATACATCAAACTTGTCACATATCCTTTTTGGGAAATGAAGTCAAACATTTGTATTAATATAGGTAATATGCTTACTGTACTGTAATAGTACCTATAGATTGAATAAATATAATTAAATATTTTCCATCGGAAACAAATATGTCAGGGAAAATGAGTGCCTTATTAGCTTGATTTATGTTAGAACTTTTAGTAAAATTAATTTTTTTTTTTTTTAATGTATAATGTATGGAATATAGATAGTATAAAAATATTTTAGTGTATTGATATAGCTTCATCGACAAAACGAATAGCTAGTGTAAAATAAACTATATAATAACATTAAGTATATATTGACATGTTGTACAATACATACTCAATGATAATAGGTAAGTCTATAGCTTATATGCATATTATTTATCAGTGCAGTTTGGTTTATAATTTTTTACCAACGTGAAACAAAGAGATATTTTGTTTTGGTTAAAAAAATATCAATTGACTGAAACGAAATAACGACGGTATGATGGCTGTGTAACAAACAACAATATATATAATAACCGAATTCCCGTTCGATGCTTATTATATTATAATAATGAACAATCGTTTTCAATTACGCGCGTTATGAACCTTCGAATGAAAATCAGACTTCCCATACGCAATAATGTACAACTTTAATTGTCATTCACACTTGTAGGTATATAATATAATACATATAATATTTTTGTATGTATTCGCTTGGTACGTTATATGCGTACAATACACCTATAAGCCCCCTCCCCAAATCGACGCACCCGCAGAAAATAAAATTAGTTGAGCGGATACAAATTTAGTGTCGACCTATTAACCAACCCTTCTCATAATAAAATGTTTATAAGGATACTGTAGAAAATCAGTATTTTAAAAATCTCAATGTGTGTGTATTCTGCGGGCATCGTGTATGGGAAATCCTTCCACAAGAGGCGTTAAGTAATTAATGCTTAATAAAAAATAATATACTCTGGTCTCTGACCGATAATAAATTACATAAAATTAAAGCTTTTTATTATAACACACAACAACGGTTCGTGGAAAACAAACTTGTTGTTATTACAATTGTTCACAATGTCCCACTCTTGGCAGTTTTAGCCTATATACTTATATATATATATATTATACAACATATATGCATAATAATATTATACTTAAGTGGAAAACCAGGAAACTGAATAATTATTTATTATTTTCTTTGATGCTATGAAAACGAACTCAAATTGAAAAAACTACAAATCGTATTCGTGACCTGTAGACTATTATAGGTATTAAATAACGATGTATTTTGAAGAATAAAGACTAATATTTCACTTAGGAATAAAACACTGTACATCGTACAAGCGTCTTATTCAGGCGTATAATATATACACAACATACGCCATATTGTATGTTTACCTAATAAAGTTGTTTGAACAAACCTTAAAATTATTCTTTAGCTTAATTATTGGTGTCTTACACTTTTACAGCGTGTTCGTTTTTCCCTCCGTCGTTGTGTCGACTTGTATTTAAAAATATATTTGTGTTCAAACTGTACAAGACATCGGACAGTACCTAATATGGTACTATGGTAGATAATCAGTTTTCTCAAAATGGATGATATTAACTAATTTAGACTTGTACCTACTAGCCAATACATGGCAGATTTCTTGTTATTTAAGTAATACGAGCACACGGTAGAATACGAACTATTATTATACATTTTTGACGATATAATACGTAAATTCAACGAATTGACGTTGCTCAAAGAGAAATATATCAACCAGTCAGAAGAAAACGAAAACATGCAAAGAAAAACCTTTTTTTGAATAACCACCAGGCAAATATTTCACATGAATGATTTTTTGGTACTTCTTTTTAGTTTTCAATCATGAGATTCGCTTGCAACAATTTTCCACTCTTCTGTGTCAATCGTTTTTCTTTTGATTTGTTCTTACGATCTCCAAATAACTATCACATTTTGGTAAAATTACGTTCCATTAATTTCTGCTCTTCTTGATATTTTTCCATAGATCTACCCTCTGATATTTTTTCAAATAGATTTGCATTGTCATATATTGTAGAAGGTGATTGTATCCGTCCAACTTATACGTTGGCCGTTTTCTGTAGCATATTATGTTTGCATACTAGCATTTCATCTCAAAAGCGCTCATATAATAAAATATATGGAAAGGACTTCCCAAATATGCGAATTTTTCCGCACCTTCTCTATATTATATTAATCGACTTCTTCGTAAGTATTATTGCTCCTGCTACACATCCTATGACTTTTTGTGTTTTTTTTCATATTGAATACAATGGTATGTTCCATAATCTTAGGATGCAATAATGAGTTCTGGAGTATTAAACATTTTTAAAACACATGTGTACATAAAATATAATATGACCGCTCGTTTGGCCGACCACGAACAAATGCGGTAAAAATGACAAACGCATTTTATATTACGTATACCATAATAATGATATATTTACGTCATTATGTGCATAATTATACCGTCGTATTTAATGTAGCTGATTAAAAGAAACGCTAAAGTAACAACATTATAATCGCACGGCACGAGTTTATGACGCGGGCTTACACGCGTAACGTAGTAATTTAAATAACGATCTATAATAACGAGGTAGGTACTAGGTAGGTACACATCCTAGGTCTGACATTCGAATATTTTACGTTAACAAAATATATAATCTATAAGACTATAACTACAGTCCCCGTGGTCTCCGATTTTCGAGGTGAAATCCATCATAGATCGCGATCACCGGCCACCGGGATCAGCGGATCACCATATAATTAAGAGCAACGTACACTTAAACTTAAACAGTTTAATATATTATAGTATTAAAAATATACGATATATGGCCTATAGCTGTTGCAAATAAAAACATATGATACCAATATGCATTATTTTTAAAAGCGTCAACATTATCGTAATATAATACATTTAATACTCGTCACTCGATAATTTAGATAGTGTTTTCGGATGACGAAACCAGAATAACAAATGATCAATATTATGCTATGTTATAATTATTGGTATCAGTATATCATATGGAGTGCCGACTGCCGAGTGATCACTGTGTTTTTACATATTTCAAGAGTGATATCGATTGTAAATAAATCCTGTATCTTGTATAACTGTGAATGTAGCATGTACCTATATTATGTAAAATTGATCACGCCTAACTATATTATAATTATGAGAGCGTGGGCGTGAACACAGCAGAAGGGATGGTTGTGGGGGGGAGATGCTTGCCGGAACAAATTTCCATATCGGGAGCGAAAGAGAAGTGATTTTCATATTTTCCGCTTATGATCGACGAGCTCAGGAATTTATTACCTAAGATGATGTCAGTTTATTATTTGTTTTCTTTCTCTAACCAACGTGCAACATATTATAGACAAATTTCATTTACGGAAATTTATGTTCTATATGGTTAAGTAATCTTTTTCGAGTAAAATCATATTTTATTACAAAAATCTGTTCGTGTAGCAGGTGATCTAGGTACTTTGTAATTACATGAGCTTGGCAGATGATCTAACTTTTAATTTGAATTCTAATTGGAACTATTATATTATAAATATTAAACCGTATGCTATAAATTAGATTAATGAATAACGTTCTTTATGTAGATTTAAATGGAGATTACCTTTTTTCGAGACAATACTTATACAGTTATACACAATACTATACGTCTATACTCAATTATATGTCAAACCTTCAAATAGAGCAACATTATTCTCAAATCTCAATAAAGTTTGTGATGAGTGATTTTACATTTTTAGGTACTCTGTATGAGTTCACACCTGTGGATCCATAAAAAGAAGTATTTTGAATGCGTTTTGTCCGTGTTACACGTGGCTGAGAGAGAAGAAAACAAAATACAGTGCGTTAAATTTGTTTGACGACCATAGCGGACGGAAAACAGCAAGAAAGGATTTTTCCGTTGCTCGTTTATTAATATATTCTACGTCCCGGGAGACAAGCGTGAACGCGCGCAACAAGTAAAATAAAATATTATCAAAGACTACCAAAGATAGGAAGAAAAAACGACGTCAAAACCGACCGGCAGACGCCTTCGCCTTCTCAAAGGTAGTCGTCGGATCTCGAATTAATATCTTGCCATCTCAGTTTCGTTATTCGCCCGCACAAGGTCATCCGCCGCCGCCGATGACGAAGCGCTCGTGCAGACGACATACGATTCCTATGTATGTATGTTTAGTATAGTTTATTGTATATTATGGTTTTATTATTCCGATCGCGCCGAATTTCGAATGACTAACAGACGGAAGACGCGGCGAGGCGACGTTCACGCAGCGTGAGCATGTATCGTCGACACGTGCGTATCGATCTCGCGTTATTCGTTAGCGTTCGAGTGTGGACGCACCCTCACAGTGGAGGTGCGGAACACGAGGTCTCGTACGCACGGTATTACCGTGCGGCGACAATTGTGCTTATAGTACGCGTGACGCTCAGCGACCACGACCGGCCGAAAACAATTGGAAACTGGGTGGTGTCCGTCTGTTGGCCACACTGCGCGTCCGTCGGTCTTGGTCGGCGGTGGAGGGGGACGTCGCGTCGACCCGAGTCGTGGTCCGTCGAGTTTTATCAGAATTCCGAGTATCAGACACAAAAAGAATATTATTCTGTCGCACACCCACCTACAGACTTTAGCATTATTATCGCCTATCGCCATTCGCCGCTGCCTCGCGACAGTTTTTTGCTTTACGTTTACGTTCTTCGCCACTCGCCTTCCCGCGACCAGTTTGCCGCCGCCGATTGCCGCGCGCACAGTCTGAATTTTGATAGTTCTTCTTTTTTGATCGCGATCTAATAAAAAAAAAAACCGCAACTCGGTGAAAGGAAATTTTTAAACATACTACAGCCCCCCCCTGAAGCTCATAGCTGACACCTATCAATTACGCTATAACTATAAATATTATTATTGCTAATACTACCTAACTTCTGTTGATCTAAATAGTACTTAGAATTTACAATTCGTGTTTTTGTTATTTAACACCGCTCGTTACAAGTGTGATACAGACTGGTTTTCGATTTTTATTATGATATAACGACGACGACGACATCGGAAGGAGTAATAACAGGCAGAACAGGACAGAATATTCGAAGGGAAAAATCCGTTTGCAGCTCTCGTCTAGTGTAGTAAGTGTAGTATTCATTATCTGAAAAAAACACAAAAATAGAACCCCATCTGTCCCATCTTGTTGTCGGTCCGATCCCGAATACCTTTGGTCAACCTTTTACCGACGATGATTTGCTGACATCTGTCTTTTGAACCTGTGCTTCTTGACCTAAACTTTCTCAGTATACTTTGTTGCTCTGCCATATAAATGGTTGCACATTTCCCAATCCATTTCCATTAACGCGATCACTCAAAGTGTCAAACGTAACAACTTAGTAACCGCTTATGTTTATAACATATTGTTTGATTACTATCACCAGTTTTCTATTCAAATGACACTTCATTCATCATTATATTATTTAATTATCTATTCCTCGAAATTTGCCATCTAGAATTAATATTTGCTTAAGTAGAAAAAATTAAAATGTTATCTACCTAGGTGCATTGGTATGTAGTATGTACTAAGTAGCTATATATCTATTCCTTCTTAGCTATAATTGTTTTTCTGACCAGAATATGATAAAATATGTAATTATTCATAATTAGTAAAGGCAATAATTAATCTAATCAATTATGAAATATGTCATAAATTATCATCTTTGACACGCTCATAAAATACTCGCCATTCAGCTCATATGAAGTCAGTAAAAAATGTACTGCTATATTTACCTTTTAAATGTACCTTGTATTAATTTTTGCAGGTGTTAATTAGTGATAAATTATCAAAATGCCAGCTTCTGGTCCAGTATACCAACCAACTACAGTCAGTTATGAACAACAAAGTGAATGGTCACAGCCATCAAATGGCTTAATCAGTCGTACCCTGAATCACATCCGTAACCCAAGGTGGTTCCACTGGTCATTCATCCTGATCAGTTGGATACTAATTGCCATTGGTGTATTTTTGTTCCTATCCATTACCACAAGCTTTGTGAACTCAGATAGTATAAAGGACAATTATACAGAAGATATAGCATTCTTGGTTATTGGCTCTTTCTGTTTTGTATTCGGTGTTGTCCTATTAATAGGTTATTTCCGATACATTAAGGACAAGGAGAGTTGCCCTTGTTTCAATAGCAAAGCTCGACAAATGGAATCTCAGTCTTCCAATGGACAAGTATGTATCAACTACAGAAGTACTGTTTTTCATATGAAATAATCACTATGTTTATTTATACAGGTACTCACATTGAATCCATCTACAGACCTCTTGATGGCATCTGCGCAGTACGGACCAACATCAGAAGCTCCGCCCACAATTATTGAAGAAGATGAAACTAGGAAATTAATGGGAAACGATAACAAAGATTGGTAAGTGTTGAGCATCTGCGTGCCTCATGAATTAAATGTTGTTCAGCGACTACTTCATTAACAATGATTTAATAATATTTAAATGTTCATTAAATCCGAAATCGGTCAAAAATGTAAAATACATAATAATATTTATTATTAGATTTAATTATTTAATCATTAACCATAGAGTAGTATTATAAATTATTTATACTTTTGTGTCATTAATGAATATGACTCATTCTTATACACTCTGAAGGACATCTTGTATTTTTTTTATTCTTACTTGTAAATACATTGTAGGAAAGTAAAAAGTATAAAAGAACTAAATAACCAGTGATATGCTTTACTATTCATTATAATATACATTGGCATTAAATAAATGAATTGTTTTTGTTGTTTATAAATATTGTATGTTAGTTTATTATTGTCGTTAACTTCTAATTGACAATGCTATTGATGATTAGTGCCATAGTCAATAAGAACTGATGTTTTTTTTTTTTTTTTAATAATAAATGACATATAAAATGTTATGATTAATAGGCTGTTTTGTTTATTTCTTATCAATTTTTTATTTATTCTTTTTTTACTGTATTGTGTGTGCAGCAATGACGAAAGAGACCACATGTTAGTAACAAGCAACCCGCCGGTAGCGGCACTCCGCACGCATGTACCAAGCGGAGTCTCGCCGCTTTCCGGTGAAGATGCTTGACTTGAGGCGAATTTCACTGATTCTTTATCAGGCATCAATGACTATTATCACAAGTGAGGATGCCATTATATCATAACATAATAATTTTATGTCTTACCCAAAACAAAATTCGTTTAACACACACATACTTGGTTATTGTTCTCAGTAGGTGCGACAATCCCACACTTCACAATCACTTCTATTCTCCACAAACACCTGTCCACAACAAAGCACAACTACACAGCAACTGGACGGCACCACTTGCATTACACGACGACCTGACACCATCCATATCTTCATCGGTTTATAGTATGGATCAGGTAAAATAACAAAAATTCAACATTTCATAATTTATTTTAAATTGCCAAACAAATTATAATGTTGTATACAATTTTTTTACAATTTTACTGTGCAATAATATTTTTTTTACTTTTTTCCCCAGCGGTCATTGGTACTAAATTTTTTTTATATATATATAATTTTTGTAAACTTACCTTTTTCTATTTTTTATTTTAATAATTTGATTATGTATACGTGAGTAAATTGTAAAGTTTCTATTATGCCTATAAGTAAAACCTTTTATTATTGTTAATTTTTGCATCTTTTAAAGTGTAAATTTAATAATAATTAACGAATAAATTAATGTTTATAACAAATTTAAGGTTATTATGATATAATATTAAATATAGTATTAAATATTAATAATACGAGTGTTCAACAACGGCATTTATTTTAAGATGATATTATTTTGTTGTCTTTATGTTATAATGTATTATTATAAAATATTATATAAGATGTGCTGTAACAACAATAGATGTGATTAACCTCATTAATATGTACTTTTGTATACTTACCATTTTTTTTTGTATTATTGCATTTGACGAATTCCATTTTTGTGTTTTGACATTAAGTAATTTTATTATGTTTAAAAACAAAGAATTCTTTATTAATTCTAATATATGATTAAGGTTATCACCTCATAATATTTTGGTTTTATTATTTTTTATGTTTACCAAGTAGAAGGTACTATTTTATGATGTTAACAAGCATACATAAGTTAACACAACACTTTCAACTCTATTAAACATGTTGAAAACAAACTTCTAAAAATATAAAAAAATATTTACTATGCATATAATAGTAAACTATAGATATTCATTACCGAGTTTCAATGTTATTACTCAAACACCTTGAAATCTGTTAACATTTTCTAGGTTAGCCATATCAATAAAATTATAAAAATATTAACCATTGATAGTCAGAATACACACTACAATCAATATCACAAGTTTTAGTTTAGTTCTAAGTGGAATTTCACTGTAGTCCTCACCAATGTTTAAAGTTTGTTTACAAGATCATTTTTAAGATGAATCTTCCTTTGATGTGTATTGGGTTTCATATTTATAGTTTATACTTTATAGACAAAATATTTAAGGACAAACCCTAAGTAACTATTGTATTTTTACCAATATTTACATGCCGTGCCACAATTACTCGCAAGGTTGTCGTCGGTTATGATTTTTACTACAATAATGATTTTTTTTCAATAGTCCAAGACGATATTAGTGTCTGTGGTTATAACAAGGTTTTCTGTTTCAAGGACTTCTCGTCCTTTTCTCCCGTGGAACTGTTCCGATCTATCGTACATAATAAATAATAATATACCATTAAATTGAGTGTCGGAAAACATACCTAACCTATATAATGCATCAATCTGTTATAAAATATGACACATCGAGTTTTATATGTAACCAATAATTGTATTTTACTACAGCGCAGTTTATTGCGATTAGTTGCTCGTAGGAAAGGATCCGATCGTTAGCGAGCGGACTAGCAGTAAGCACCTTTTTTCAACTGAAAGGCTGCTGAATAAGTACGGTACTCGATGTGTATTGCTAAAAAAAATAGATATAGGGATACGCCTTTTCCCCGTTGGTAGGATGTAACTATATAAGTGACAAATTACAATATTAAAAATAAGACTAAGCCGTTATTATGCAAATTAAGCACAAGAACAGTTTGTACTTAGACATTTTCATGCATAACAATTAATAATTTTGTTCCTAAGATTATAATCAAATGCACCACTGTAAGTGGGTACTACTAACTGTATGGTAGGACCACCTACTACCGCCAATATTGGAAATTTCGTTTTTGGAATGCGTCGAGGCATATTTCAATCGAAACACGAAATGTTGTTTAATAATATAATGTGTATATATATATGTATATATATGTATATGTGTACAAACGTCGCACTTAAGCACTTTGGCGACAACAAAAACTTAGTGACAAAATATAATATTAATAATGAATATAGGTACAAATAGTATTTATAATAATAATATATAAATACACACACACACACACACACACACTCGACAGGGCCTACTGAAAAACAAAAATAATAATAATTACGACCATCCGAGGGGTGTGTGTGGTGACGGTTGGTTACTGGTGAGGGGCGCGGTTGTGATACGGTCGGTTGTCTTCTCGTCTCCACCACGGCACTCCTTCAATTCTGCAACAGACAAAAAGCAAATTTAAATAAATAAAAACGATTTGTCACTTAATCGCTTGGTTAACAAGCAATTTCGATATCACATAGTAATATATTTATATCGATGATGAATGTAATCAAAAAATAAGTTTATGTAATTGAGTAAGTACCTAGCATCAATAATTACGGAAGAAATTTAAAAAAAAATATATATATATATAGACGTATATATTATGGACTCTGGGTAAGAGCATATTTTTGCATATTATTAAAAATAAAAGCATATTTCAAGGTTTTTTGATGCATAAATGTATACTGTTTAATGCTTTTTGAGTGCATACAAATTCGGACCCTAGTCCGAAGTTCCTAAGTCATAATACTGAGTTCCCCGGGCCGTCCTTAGGGCGAGTAGGGCTTCAACTGCTTCAAGCATTTTTTTTATCAAGATTTTAGTATTTGCAATTGAAAAAAAATGAGTGAACTAGTTCCCTAAATTATATTATAATTGTATAACATTTAAATTATATGTTTCACAGAAGAAATCCTCATAAATAAACTATAAAGTAGTGTTGCTTGTAATGATATAGGTACCTACTTACATAATATTAAGTAAGACAGGAAATAACTGTCAAGCATATGGAAATGGAGCAAATATGATAGAAGTGCAGCAATAATTTTAGAAAATCCAGAACTTTTTATGTTTCGAGCGTTACTCATAGCTTTTGTTTCTATGATGCACTAAATAGTTTTGAAAAAGGTTTTGATTAAGTAAAAAATATATAACTATAAAATATAAATATATAGGTTAGTGTTATTTAAAAAACCTTCTGACAAAAGATTATTATATTTTTTTTTAATACCTATACCGTCGTAGTACCTTAATGGCTTAACAACATAACTGTATCAAACACCTAATAAGAAATAATATAACAAACAACTATGTACATGATTACAAATACAATTTGAAAATGAAATCAAACGTTTTTTTATATATCACCCATTTATAAGAACCAATATATTTGTCATATTTTCGCATCTTGTTATGCATTATTAAAAAAAAAATTTCCTTTATGATTTATAATTTATATTATATTTAAATTGAATATTTATTAAAATACATTTTCGTTCAAAGAAAATAATTTTGCTAGGTAAATAATTGAATATACAATAAAAATAAAAATAATTGGATACTAGACTGGAAGTCAGTAGTATTATAATGTGAAATATTACGTTAAACTTAAAATAATAAAATGTATGGTTTATATTTCGCGGCTTACGGTTACGTAAACTCGACAACATGAAATTACTCAAATAGCAATAAAACTTATCACACATTCTCACTGATTATTCTTCTGGAATACCGGACGAGACAATTATATTTATATATATACAATCTGACTTTATAAGTACATAATATTACTATTATTACTATACTATAGGTAAAATTCAAAAATAATTGGATTCGGGTTTTTGTGTGGATTGGGTGGCATTTTAACTTAAAAAGTATTTATAACGAACAGTACCAAATCGAATTAAAAGGCAACAAATTAAAAATTAACACTTCCTCCCACAAAAAATCATCTAGATTCTAGATAATAATTTATTTCAGATAGTCAGATAACTTTTATTCAATGGCATGTTCAGTGGGAATCGGTGTACCGATTGGCACTCCTCGTAATTTACGGTTAGTACATTAATAATTATTGAACTTTTTTTATTTCGCGGTCAGTAAACCACCAACCATACCTTTTGGTTAAATCTCCATTCTCCAGGTATGGAAAATATGTTTTTTTTCGGATCTTCCATTAACATTAAATTATCGCACATCATTAATCAACTGAAATTGGCATATTAAAATAATTCAAAATTCAAAAATTATATTAAATTGATCAATCGATTACTGAGTAGTTCAAAACTTTTTTGTGCTCGAAAAAATTAACATTCCTCCACTGAAAATGTAATCATAGCTGTTTTAAAGACAATATTCTATAACAGTACCAATCCGGATCTTCTATGAACCGTAATTACAACCAGCAGAAGCAAGTAACACAAAGGATAATATATCTTAATTCATAGGTGTATGTAATTGAGAGATATCCATAGTCGAAACAAAGTTATCATTATCTCTTTACCTATACCAATATATCGGCTAAATTGGTTCGTCACAATGCAGAATACTGATTGGCATAATATGGTTAACACCATTTTGACATTATTAGATATTTTTATATGTACAATAATTTACATTTATAATAAGTGTTCAATATTGTATGTTTTTTTTTTTTAATTTAAGTAAAGTAACTAAAGTTGCTTGTTATAATAAATTATAATTATATATTTGCACATTTCTAATTTAAACGGCTATTATTTAACGCGATTATTCATTAATCTATCGCGGTCCAGGTAATAACGGAGCGCAACTCGCCTACACCTTAAATATTTTGAACGCAATCGGTAACCTTCCTATACTTAAGTGGATGTATAAAATTAGGCTTTAAATTAGTTTTATCTAAATATGATTAAAAAAAGACAGACATTTTCATCTAGATAATATAAAAAGATGGTTATACACCCATTATACACGCCAACAACACTCACTGCTGTAGTTCAGACGTCGTCTCGTAGTGATGGCCGTTGGCCGCGTTGTAGTTGGCCTCGCTGCCGTCCCTCTGGCCAACGTACTGATAGACGTTGCCCTGGAACTGCCGGCGAAGCGTGCCGCCGTTATCGGCACCGCCGGCCGCCATGATGTTCTGCAGCGGTATGGTCTCGGCGGCGGCAGCGGCCGTGCCGGATCCGGTGGCCGGCGGTTGGCCGGAAACGGCGCCGTTGTGTTGGTTGCTGTTGTTGTTGATCACCATCAATGCGCCCGCGTTCGACCTGTGGTGGTGCCGGCCGTTCAGCTGCCTGTGCCGCTTCCGGCGGTCGGCGTCCTGCCGCACTCGGCACTGAACGGCCATCAGGAACGCGCTGACCGGCAGCACCAGGCCACCGATGTACAGGAACCGAGGATCCCGGCTGGACACGACGGCCGCCATGATCAACAGGAAGCCCACCGTGATGCCCGCGAAATAAAACACCTGTGAAACGCAGACGATGGCATGCATAAAAAACTAAAATATATTGTACAATACAAAATAATAATAATAATAATAATAATGCTATCTGTACAATGGTCGACGGGTAGAGTACCTGAAGATTAATTTATTTTTCAGAAACTTAAGCGAGACACCCTTACTATTTTTTTTTTTCAGTGAAACGCACCGGACGGTGGGTACACCTGGTTGCATTTTTATCAAAACGTACGATACTAGATATCACAATAAATTCATTTTATTGATTATTTCATAAATAATTATTTTCATTTTAAAAAATATATATTATATTGACCTAACTGATATATAAACAAAACGTTGGTCATAACTCATAACCTCGGTCCTATAATAAATTAATAAATATTATAATATTTATAAGTTTGGTATCATTAACAAGATAATTAAATTGGAAGATAAAATTCAACATTCAACCATAATTTATGGCAGTGAATGTTTTTTTATTTATTCGCTTTGAGTAATATCATTATGCTCTGAAAAAAAATTATAAATAACAATAATATCTACTGGGTGTAAACTGTGAACGGACATGACGACTTCAAACGCTATACTTAAATGTAAAACAGAATGTCTGTGAATATTTCGGAGTTTTTATTATACTTAATGGTTAACTTCTAAATATATGTTTTTTGTCTCACTTGCATCGAATGTTTAATTTCGATGCCGGTTGAAACGTCGGAAAACGATCTTTTCAGTCAACCACGTGGACAGTTAATGCTTTTCACGCCCGCAGGCGGTATAGTGAAAATTCCGCTACGCGGAGGTCAAAAAATTATTACTGCAGCATTGGATATGTCAGATTAACATTCATGAACGTAATCTATGAAAAATTGTTAACGTTTTTGAAAATATTTTTTTTAACTTTATCTAAAGCAGTTAAAAACATTTCGTTTTTTTTAATATTTATTATTTTTATCGTTATCAAGAAAAATGATAGATCACAATGATCATATTACAGTGCAACTTAAAATATTTTTTAATTTGTTATCATTTAATTGAGTTTGCCGGGCACCACTCAGACACTATAACAGTCTATATACGTGGCATATATTATATCATATATTCTCATTATGGTGACTCACCAGCAAGCAGAAATGGCAGAAGTTTTCGAACCTCGGACAGTGGCCACCGCATGCGTCAACGGCTACGTCACACGAGGGCAACAACAGTGGCACCGCCTGTGGCTGGTGATGTGGCCTCAAGACCGCGGCTGCAGCGGCGGCGTTCTGCGGCGGTAACTGTGGCGGCGGCTGCGGCAAGTATTGTGCGGTGGTGGTCGTCTGTTGCTGGAGATGGTGGACGGCCGACGGCGGCGGTTCGACCGGTGGCCAGGCCTGCGCCATCTGCGGCCGGTGGTGGTGCTGCTGCTGTTGCTGTTGCTGGTGTAGTTGGTGCAGCGATTGGTGGTTCAACTGTTGTGGCGGCGGTTGCTGCAGTGGGTTGTACTTGATGCCGGCCGTTGTCACCGACGACAGGGCGTCCGGGTCCGTGGTGGCACCACCACCGGCGCCGCCCCCGCCGCTCTTGTGGTGGCCGCGAGACGCCTGCCGGTGGCTGTTGTACACGCGGTGGTGCTTTGCTCGGCGGTTGGCAGCGTAAGCCCGGTCGTTCGAGCTGTTCGACGAAGATCCGCCGGCCGCCGGAGAATGTCTGTCCGTGCTCCAGGCATTTCTGTCCAAACGTGATAACAATTATTACATCGTTTATATTATGTAACTGTTATTATTAATATTGTAACGATTCAAGTCTACACCTGCAGAGACGTATTCTGAAATTTTATACCTAATGGTTTTGCCATCTCTAACTTCGTGGATTTCAATAGTTGACAATTTACATTCTTATGTAATTAAACCGTTATTTTCTAAATTTCAATGCCTATTTAAAATGTTCTATATACAGTCGAAAGATAACTCCTAATATTAATAATTAATTACACTTGACCAAAAATTCAAATGTCGAGTCCAATAGGTATGTAGAAAAAATTAATATTTAATGATTAGAAATAAGATAATAGATATTGTGTAACCTTTCACGTTTTAAACATTTTATCAGTGGTATAGCTGATAGCCATTTGACCACTATAAACGCAAGCCCACAAGTTGAAAATTGTTCAACATTATGGTTATATCAAGTGACATGCTACATTAAAAAGATAACCATTAGCGTTTAGCCAAATAAAACTTCACTAGGATTTTAACATACGATATGTTAAATTATGGACACGATGGAATGCAGAGGCACCTTAAGGGTTAAATAAATAATACGTGTAGCGTAGCCTGCAGGAATTTGTTTTTTTAGAGGGGACATAATAATTTATTTTATAGGATAGACCAAATTAGAGTCCCTTATAAGTTTAATATGATGATGCCGACATGTCGTGAACTCGTGAGTAAATATTGCATTTTAGACTTTTCCAGAAAACTTCATACAAATACATTTTAATATAAATGGTTATTTTGTATTCGTAACAGAACGCTGAAAACAATTATAAATTTTCCAGAAAGGAATGATGGAACCCCCTACGCAACCATTTTCAGCCCATCCTTGATATCGCCACTGAATTATAATAAACATAAGCCCAAAGGTCCATATAAAAAAGCAATCTAATTTTCCTTCATTAAAATTGTTGGTATGTATTAATATTTTATTCGTATAGAGTTATATTTCCATCTAAAAATGCATTTTCCGAGAGCCATATTGCAGAGTTTTTTTTATATATCATCGTTTTGCTGAATTCCGTGCGATCCTCTAGATAGTCTGGCTAGTATAAGTTCAAAAATTCTCCTCTATCTAACAGAGAATATTATTGCAGATTGTTTTTTAGAATGCATAATAATATATAAAAACTAAAAAGCTTTAACAGCGAGACGACGGACGAAAACAATGAGAAATTCTTCGCTTTGTTCACTGGTACAACTATATAGTCTGTCAGTCCGACATGACTATAGTATATAATATAGTGATGTTCATTATTCCCATCGATTTTACTATTTTTGTTATTATTATTATTATTTTTTTTTTTATTATTATTATTATCATTATTTAGTACGTGATGATTTTTAGCCGCAGCTTTGTTGGCCACGGGGTAAGTAGTTTATAAATAGTATACGGTTTGTATGAATAGAAAAACCTTTGGAAATCGTTGAAATAATATTCTACGGTTCTATTATATACGCCGGGCAAATCTCCGAACGGCTCGAGGGGGGAGGTATGTATAATACTACACTCCCTCACTCTTATATCTCCTGTCGGGAGAAAATTGTACAAAAACACGCCGCAACCGAGTTTCTCGTCTCAATCATAAGAAGTGCCACAAGCGAGCGCACGCACACACACACACACACACACACACACACACACACACACACACAGCATTTCCAAAGTATAAATTTACTGCGATAATCAATAAATATCAAAACATACTATATATGTATGGTATTGTAGGGATAAGTGTTCCTGGCAGATTAACACAACATTAATCGAATTTGAAGACATGTCTGCGTCAGATTATTTTAAAGCAAACAAACTCCACCATAAGGATGTTCGTCAATTATGTGGATTTCCTCCGGGTTTGCGATGAAAAACGGATTCGTCGTCGACACAAATTACGTCGTCCACGGAAATCCGACGATAACAGTCTGCAATTTATTACAAAACTAAGCCCTCCGGCTCCGGACACGAGTATTGATCGCGTATATTTACCACTCGACAAAATACATATTACAGTGAACCACTAGTAAATTCCTCAACTACTCCTATAATATATAGGTAGGTACGTACACTCAAGTGGTATATTAGCTATAAGTCTTCATTTTGTTCCTTGCAAAATAAAGGATTAGAATCTCAATAATTTCATGGGTTTTCAATTTACGGAGATAAAAATTTGCTTTTTCATTTTGGTTCTTCAAAATACAAACAAATGGATTAGGCCAATACGGAAATATTAACACTTATAATATTATACTGTGTCCTATTCTTACATCTGATATTCTTACAATCTGACATTCTGTACAGTTCATATAAGGTAAAAAATGCCCCAAGTTCAGAACAAATACAAAATCAGGCAATGTTTAAACGCTGTGAGTTATAGGCGATTTAATATTAGGAGCAATTAGCAACGAGGAACGATGGAAAAAGCTTTACAGCGAAAATGTATCCCTACTCTGCAGTTCAAACCTTTGATTCTGATTTCGGTTGCAATAACTAACCAATATAATAGTACCTGGGCAACGAGTGATGGTGGTGACTGCTCGACGGGGGTCTAGATCCGACCACCACGTTGGACTGTTGTTGCTGCTGTTGCTGTTGCTGCGTGCCGTAGAATTGCTGTTGCAGCAGCAATTGCTGGTGTTGCTGTTGTGACTGCTGCTGGTAATGGAGGTGCGCGCGGCCGTTGTACGTGTTGTTGCCGTGCACCGGCGGCGGCGGCTTGGTGTAGACGGCCGCCGGCGGCGGTTCCGGACCGTATTGTTTAGAGCGTCCATGCCTTGACATGGCGCATCAACATGTCGCCGCTGCTCGACCGTCGCTGCTGGCGTACGTCGTCAATCGCATGCCTGATGAAAAATTGAACTGTCATTAGGCATTAGCATATTAATTAAAATTATTTAATTAATTAATTATGATAGTGAGCTATAAGTAATTACCAATGGTTCTTTCCCCGATACTAATTTTTTACATATTTGCAAAAATTCCTCCCCCCCATGATAGAAAAACACAAACCTTAAAATTAAAAATCAAATATATTTTACGTTTCATTATCTGGGAGAACGAATTACGTTCCGCTTAGTTAAACTTTAAAATTTAGTATAACAGATGGCGCAAACAGTGGCGTATTTAGGATTCTGTAAGCGACTATGGAGAAGAAGCAATAAAAAATATTTTATTATTTATTTAATTTAAAATTTAAAATATATAGCTTTTCACCAATGATACACGTATTACGCGCAATTTCGTTAAATCGATATTTTATGTATAGGTACCAGGCAGCTATAATAAATGAATAATTTATTAATTACGACACAATTTAATACGAACACATGACTGGCTATACGATTTTTATACTCACACTTTAGTATTTTACTCATAGCGTATAGCTACTACTTCTATATATAAATCGACATAAACGAATTTAAATGGAAAATATTTTAAATAATAGGTATTCCAGTATCCATATAACGAAGATCAAGGGACGAGAATTTTTTATTTGAAGTACTCGATCAGGATTTTGGAGCATATTGTTTAACACTACCACCATTTGAGAGCTACCTATGTATAAATAAACGAATTCATAAAAATGCATAATAAATGAATATTGCATGATGATAACATTTTTAAAAATGGTCTAAATCATTAAAAAAGGATAACGTAATGAATGAATGTTTTTTAGAGCAGTAATAGTTAATAATATGAAAACTTTCCTTGAGAACTAAGCTTTAGTTTTACACTATATTTTATTTTGTAAAAAATTTTAAAAATCGATCTAAAGTAATGTTGCCGACGAATTTGAATCTGTTTCAGAAATATCATTCAATAAATAGTAAAACAGATAATAAATCATACGATATATAAATGTCCAAAATAAATACCTATTATGTACCTACTTGGCGAAAAAAAGAACTGTGTGTCAACATAAGCGTGCGGCGAAGTAGCACAATTATGATAGAAGTGCAAGCACACTAATAAAATATATTAGTCATTACCTACACACACAACCGCAAGAACCGTACCCTCCAGATTGCGTATAATGAACTCCTTAAAAAAAACAGTTTGCATTCCCTTTAATTTATTACCGATTGATCGATCGATTTACTAAGAGCCCAAAGCCCGTGTAATAGCGCGCAATAGATATGCCATCGCCCACCCACAACTGGTTATTGAGCAGTGAATCAACATTGGTAGGTATGCGAATATTATATTAGGTTTGATACTCATTTTTATATACAAACGATAAATACACGCAAAGAGTTCATTTTGCAATATGTTCACATTTACCGATTGTCAGAACGGCGAGAAAACGATTTAAACCCTCAGTGGGTAGCCGAACATTTGAGCCGGCTGCTTAGTAATGTAAATAAATATATTTAACTGTACCTATGACCGAAAATATTTTAACACCCTAAAGTCAGATCTATGAAGAACACCTACAGGCTACAGGCTACAATTATACTACAATCAACATTCAATTCATGGTTGAATCAGTAACATAATTGTAACTATGTTATTTAGAGAATTAATTCAAGAATACTATATAATAGTAACATAATACAACTGACAGTTGATATACAGTATGCGACGTTGTGAGATATCTTTGGCTCAGTTAATAAACTAACTGGTGTACATTAAAATATACATATAGTCAAAATTTGGTTAGGTCAATGACTGTACTGTGTCAAACACAAACTGGAAAGTTTCTTTTTAAAACTAAGCCAATAATGTGGGATTTTTACTTTTGAGCCATTAGAAAAAAAAACTATTTAAAAAGAATTTATGATTAATCGGGTTATGATAAATAAGCACACGCGTACACTTCAATCGTTCTAGTACATGCCTATCATACTGGTCTAAGGACTTCAATAGATACTGCATGTGCGATAAAAGTATAAAACACACATCACCGTTGGTAACTTTGTTGGCATGCTATCCTGGTCTTTCGTTAGCATTCATTGAAAATTATCATTTATTGTCCAACCGATGTCAGAGTAAATTATTTAACGAGAACTAAGAATCCAATTTCACATTGATAAATTTTAGAAACTGACATCACGTCGTTTACGCGGTGCTAAAAGAACAATATTTCATAAACAGTATAACTACAAAAAATTCATACATTTTAAAACGAGTGACAAAGACATAGCAGAACCTATATACTGTGGGAAACTTCTGGAAACAAAGTTTATCGTCTAACTAACCCATATGGGCGGATGTGGGCCACCCAAAAACAAATAAATCAATTTTCAGGATCAACAATTACAAGGACCTAACAATATAATTACAAAAATAATTTGTCAATTAACATTCGAATCCCAAGGTAGAAATTATGTTTCGGTTTAGATCGATTTTATTTCTTAAATATCACCATTAAGGATCGGCTAGTGTGGTCGATCGTCATATTTGGTTCTCAACAACATGTGCTAGCGTTCCAGAAATATAGCAGTAGACCCAGAAATATATTTTACATTTACTTGTCAGTTGTCGGTATAAAAAAGGACCTGGGAGTGTCAATGAGAATTTTTGACACACGCCCAGTTGCACGCACGACGTACGCCTATAAATACTGCTCGAAATCTTAGTTTTTAATTAGACGCGTACAATTATGGCGTATAATTTTGAAATTATTGCTATTTAATGCACATAATACTATACGTCATACTTAGCCTTTTAGGGTGAAAACAACATAACACATTCTTGTGTGTTAAGTTTTATATAGAAATAATTATATTAAATAGTATAAATACCGAATATTCACTGGGTCACTCGCACATGTACCTATGTATAGTTTATTATTATTGAATAATTAAAGCGACGCGTTAAACGAAAATGTATGTAATAATTAACAACGCGTTTTATTCGCGTGAACAGTTATAAACAATTATATGAAAAAAAAAGAAATTAATATGTATATCTCGGAAATAGCTTTAAAATAAACACAAAAAGCTACCGCAACGCTTGAATGTTGTTAATAATTTACGGTTTTGAATAAAAAAACACGGCTACTGGTAGGTTAATACCGCAGATGCTAAAACGCTTTAATAAAATATAAATCAGTTTCCAAAAAGTATACATTTTTTCGACAACACAATATAATTATGTAAAAATCCCAAACAGCATTTGAAAATATTTAAAAGTCGCAGATTCATTCTTACGACACAAATATAATTTTCTAAATACTATTATAGGTAACACCAGGACACACCACGTATTGGTCAGTTACTCGAAAGCCAAAATACACTGCTAATAGCCGAATTTAGATGGTAGTCGGATAATGTTTTCCAAACACTTGATTTTACAAAATAATAAGCTGTTATAATTTATAACACAATGCACAGCACCGATTTACGAACAATGTTAATCATATGATATGTTTTTCATAAGAATCATTCTGGGACACAAAATAAATTAATATAATCCTACTAACTAAATAACAGTAAATAGGTGAAAGCCGTAGTGTTTTTTTAGGTTCTTAGAACTTTAAAATATGATTCTTATATCTGCTCAAAGTATGCATGATTTGTTTTTTGTTATTAAGTCAATGTTGTTTAATCGTGTATAGTTTATATTTTATACAATTATGATAGTTCAATCTTGATGTTTTAAACAAGTTGTTTAACGATTTCAATTACTTTTTTGTAATAGGTTACAAAGAAATTTTACTTGGGTAATAAACAATCATGATTTTTTTATAAACGATAGTAAAATAAATTCTAAAAATTTAAAATATAGCCTAAATGTTCTCAAAACCCAAAAACTCAAGTACCAAAATCAAGTGTTTCTGCAAATTCTATTATCAACAAATCAGCCACATTTTTTACTGCCATCTAGCAGCACAAATTCAAAAAATATATGAGAAAACTCAGAAATCCGCTCTTAAGAGTCTAGACACTATAGGCTAATAGGTGTTATGTACCGAGAAACGGCTATTAACATAAATACTAGTATACACGGTGCAGTACAAGAACAATAGTTTAACAACGACGCTCACGTAGGTACCCACTTTATGATGTAAGTTTATTTTTTCGGCGATCATCACACGATGATTATCAACAATAACGCGTTATTATTAATTGCCGTCGAAAACCGCCTGCCCGCGTAGAGGAAAAAATCTCTTGTATAGTTGTTCTCGTCAAATGATCGTCATCATAATATACGATGCGAGCACCACTTATACTATAATACTAAACAGCATAATATCGAACAATATAATATTAGGTACCTCGGGACGTTTATATAATCTAAAATATCGAACGGGCTCGATGAATTATACAGAGTGAACGTATAAACAACAACGAGAGGCTGTCGATGAAGAGGCCTCAATAGAGGAGGGCCATTCCGAAAGCAAAAATGAAAAAATTTTTGTATCCGAAAGACTGCAGCGGTATCATTATAATATGAGTATAAGTAAACCGTAAATGGGCACCTTCAACGTGTTGATAATTATACTTCCGATCGGATGCGTATCCGTTTTTCACCGTCGACGACGGTTAACCATACGCCATCTGTGCATCACAACTCACAGGCACAACAATAATAACAACAACAACAACAACAACAACAACAACCGAAGCTGGTCCTGTGCGACCGGTGCCTACTGCCCGACACTGTAGTTGTACCACTACCACCGCCAACACACTATACCTACCAGCTATACCTATATAATATAATACTATACATTATAAGGTACGCATCGGAAAGTGCCCGGAGAGCCGAAAAAAAGAAACCGGTTGTCCGGATCGAGGAGCAGACCTATAATTTATCAATCCTCACATGTTTCCTTAACTAGACTACAACACGAGTGCGCATGAGAGACGACCGCCGCAGCCATCGACCGGGAGAAGAGGAGTGGGCGGCGGCGG